AGATTCATCAAACATTCGAACATTGGTCAAAATTTTTTTACCGATGCTCGAAATTCTAGAGTTTGTGATCAACCAATTCTCGATTCCATTCTCTACCCGTGTGTAACTAGATTATTCACTAAATACCCATACAATAACTATAAATTCTCACATTATAACTTGGATCATTTAACAATGATTCTAATGTCTACCCACCAATAATAAATATTTTTTAGTTTCTAATAAGTTTAGCATTTTATTATATTCTACATCCCGTGATTCATCTAATGGTACTCGACATGAATTATTATATTAATAAATTTATTAAAAGGCAAATCTATTCATAATTGCGCAATTCATAAAATAACGAGGGACTTCGAGTTAAATTGTTAGAATCTATCTCAGTTATGTATTAAAAAAGATCGAAATAAAAGTTAAACATATGAGCATGAATGTATAGAAATCATTTAAATACTGCCATCATATATGATACGTGATAACATTGAAAGCTAGAGATTGGAATCAGCATTGTTTGGTTACAAATTTTAGAATGAATGTTCAATGTTTGTTGAGATTTTAAAATTTATTATTTCACATTCGAAATTTCATTCTGTCAAATAAGTTTTGATTTTATAAAATGGCATTCTCTATATTTGTTTTCTTTATTAGTTACTACAACATGCAGCCAAACACATAACAGACTACCACGCATTTCTAATTTTCTCTTTTAGAACTAACAGATCCTCTATATTGGCTCGCAGATGAAATAATTAGATTCGCCCTCCTCATTATTAAAGGATAACTTTTCTAGATCATCAACAGAATATGTAGTATTTTATTCGATATTATAGCGTTTTCAAATTACCGTGACTTCCCGATGATCGTCCATTACAAAGAAATTTTAGATTTATTTCTAAACACGTTAGCTAGATTTATTCATAAAAAGCGCCAAAATTTTCAGATTTCTTGATACGTAATTTGAAAAGTTTTCATGTTAAGATTTTTTACTTAAAAAATTAGATCATCAATGGTTGGTTGAACTACTGACCATATGGGGCGTCGTCAGTCAAACCGTAGCTTAGTGAGATTGATCATTTCCGAAAATTGTTTCACACAAAGTGATATTTTATTTATTTTTTATCGGTTATACTACTGTAAGTAGGTTGTTACAAGTAGTTGCAATTGTCTAATTTTTTATCATTTTGTTTAACAATTGATCAATCTCACTAAGTTACATTTTGATTGACGACGCCTCGTATATACCCTAATAGACATGTTTCGAAAATTTTCAGTGTCTCCAGCCCTACTCGAGACTGACATTAGAAAAAAAATTAATCAAATTTTTATTTATAATTTTTTCGATAATTAAAGATCTTTTCCGACACTGACATGTATGTAAAATTCAAATCTAATTAAAGTTTAATATAAAATTATTTACTAAATAGATTCGAAATCAACATGAGGTTGATTCAAAATTCTTTAACTACCTATGTTATATAGTGTTTGACAGGAATTCAGTGTATGAAGTTCAATTTTTAATTTTGTGTTCTCACAAGAACCTTTTCAAGTCCTTAATATTTTTAACGATTTTTTAAAGTTTTCAATATAAAAAATTAAATTTGATAATATCAAATTTTTATTTAATGTTTTCAAGTATAGAACATATTTTAAATAAATCATGCTTTTAAAATTTGATTATGTTCTCGGAGAACATTGAGAACATTGAATTTCATTGGTAAATATAATGATTTATTAAGATTACTGTAATTACTATACTACAACATAAATTTCAGAATTATTATTTTAATAGACAGGAGATCATTAATCTAAGCAATTAGAACAGACCAATAAGCGTTAAACTTTTATTTATGTAATTCTTAATCTAAAAATATATTTTTATCTGTAACTAAAAGTGTATATATACTGTAACTGAAACTATAAACCTTAAACCTAAAAATATATTTGTTATCTAACTGAAACTGCATCTATGTTATCCATGTATGACCAATTACCATCCTTTTTTGGAATAATTACATAAAAATAATGTTTAAATGTTTTATTGAATTTTTTAAATTAATTTTTATTCGATTCATCTCGTTAAGACAAACCAAAATGATATACCATTTCAAAAAAAAAAATAATAATAAAAATAATAAAAAAAAATATCTGAGATACAATTTTACTTTATCTTTAATATTCCACTAACTTCTATGAGAAATCACTAAGACGTACTGTAAATCCATAAACAATGATTTTACAAGAATAATAAACATAATATGCAATGAAGAATCACAAAATTTTGTGTCTCACTAATTCACAAAGGGACAATATAAAATCTTAAAACTGTTATATGTATAATATTATCCCGTTGTATCGATAGTGAGAATTCTGTTTACTAAATGGTTACCAAAATCAACTTAAAAAGAATTATTATAAAGATAACGTAAACAAATGCTACATAAATATACGAAATTGGTAGCATATATAGTTATTAGAAAGATGTTTAGCATACATACATATATATAGTACATGCAGAATACGAGATGTTTGTTCCTATCTCATCATTTCAAAGCTTTAGTACCAAACTTATTTTTTATCCGGATTCCGGTTCAAATGGCAACAGGGTTGCCGCACTTCATACATTCATTATTAGAACCAATTCCCCAGTATGTAATTGGCTGTTTACCAGCTTTAGCCATAGTAGGTGCATCACCAATAAATAAGTTTAGTTATAAACTAGTATGGATATTTCGATGTCTCGGTTGCCCATTTATGGGAGTTTTTTCATCCATTAACGTAGGAGGTGATAAAATATCACGCTGTTTATTCTGGCTTTCATCTGATTATTTTGAAATAAGAGGATCATCAACTCCACCAAAATATAGACCTATCGGATTTCATGCTATGGAAGTGAGCATGTATCAAACTATGGATACAATAAATAAAAGCATAGACTTATGCATAGCAAAAGCATCAGTTTTAGAAAGATTTTCATCATTAGTATCAGTATATTATATAATAGTCGGTATAATAGCGGGAATTTCCAGGGCTTTAGGAGCAGTTTCTTGTCAAGATTGGCCATACATACCGATATTATTGTCCTGGACAATTCCAGCACTTTTTAGAAGGGCATTTTCAGGAAATTTAGTAGTTAAAGATCCTAAAAAGATATTTCGTAGAATAAAAATAGTTTTGGAACCGAATAATAGTTCGGAAAATGGTGATCAACATTTTATCATAATGTTAACCGCTTTTGCATCGATTATTTTACCTTGGACTGCTTTGCTTCTGGCATACTTTACACCTCCAGTCGGTTACTTTTGTCGGAGCAAATATATCACGATAATCTGTTCTATATGGTCGCTTAATAGTTTTTTAGCATTTATAAGTCATTGTTTTGGGGAAAAAAACTTACGTAGTGGATTCCTTCATGTTTGGTTTGCTTTTTGGGGTGTTATAATAGCAATCCTTTTGTTTGCCCTAGCTTTACTTACTGAATATTATAATTGGTGGGGTTTATTTGGGAAATCTTGCGATATTTCAAGTATTGGTTGTTGAAAAATTAATAATTGATTTATTAAACTTTTCAATAAACACATAAATCATTTAATTAGATGTGTGTCTTAATTTAAATTTTTATCATTTGAGACTCCACAGCAAAAGGCAGAAGGCTAAAAGAAAATTTTATGAAGAATTAGATTAATAGGAATACAATTTTATAAAATTACAAAAAACCAATTTTTTTGTCCCACTGCCCCTTTTGCTACGGAGTTCCCATTTGTCGGATTGATTAATAAGATTTGTAAGAGGCTCTCCTCTAATCGGAATATGAAATATATTTGCCTTATAAGTAGTATTTGACTTCTAAGACTCGAGTAACTCGAGTAAAACTCGAGCAAATTAACTCGATCAAATGTCTTGGAGATTAATTCGTGAATCTGAGTAATCACTACTGCGTCCTAATTTCTTCCTCACTTCTGATTGGATGTATAATTAGCATCACTGACTGGACAAAGTTGATTACGCAACTTTCCGTCTTCCAATTAAGTTACAAGATCAGGCGTAATATAAAATTTCAAAATCGATGGTAACTCATCGTTTTGCTTATGAAACTACTTTTTGTATTTTAATGAAAAAAATTTTGCAAAATTTTAGTAATATCCATGTCTTATTTAACCTCAGTTCTAACGTAAACAACATGTTTTATTATTTATCGCGCAAATTGATGTACCTTTTGATCAAATTTGTGGATCGCTGCACACCAATACACTTGAACAATCACCTGATTGTTGTCCGGTTGCGCGATCATAAAATGATTTTTAATGAGCATAGATATGGCTGACAAATTTCATGAAAAATAGTATATTATTATTGAATATCAGATATGTACTTTCTGATAAAGGTAATCGGTATTCAATATACCAAATAAAAATGTTTAACGTGCTCTCCAGACTCTTAATTTAAACTTTAAAACCTAATTCTAGCTTTAATTAGTGTTCTGCAAAATGGATGACCCACCAACGCACCTAGTATCGCCACCAAAATCAGGTACGTAATCGCTTTTTAAATTTCAATCTGAGCACAAGATTAACCGAATCATGAGAATTTTGAAGAAAT